GACTGGTTGTCCAGGCCAAGGCAGGTGAATTTTCTTGAGGAATCCAAGACCGGTATCTTCGGTTAATCAATGTCTGACTCAAAAGGCAGTATGTGTGTGTGAAAACCGCAATCCATTAGGTGCCCGCATGAAGTAGACCGTACCATATGCCCTTTTGACGGAGTCAAACGTTTAAGATGCCCAATACACCTCAATGCCCAGTTGAGCCGGTGACCACTGCCACAACCATGAAGGTGTGCGTGAGATTCGTGCCCCTCCTCTTGACTGGTTCGGAATCAGGGCTTTTAGCCAACTCCCTCGGGTGAACTGCCATTGGTTCACCGGCCCGGTTGTAGCCCCGGACATTGTCTTTTCGTCTTCCCACTTTGGTGGAAAGCACTTCCTCCACGAGAAGGTAGTGACTAGGGCTTCCTCAGCGGAAGCTATTTGTGACGCTTGCTCGTATGGGAGCAATACGTGAGGTGCAAAGGAAGGGTAACCAACCGAAAGCCGAGAACCCCCACCCCCGACCCCAATGAGGCTTTCATTCTAGATACTATGTTATCGACTATTGTCTTGCTTAACAAATACCCTATCCTTGGAACTTTACGGTCAACGCCCAGAACAGTCAATGGCCTTATCGCTCAGAAAGACTTCCCCGTTCTGGAACTTGTGACAAGAACAAGCAAAAGAGGAATGCTAAATCCGGAGGAAAAGATAGGTAACGTCACTAGAAACTCTTTTCGGAGCCACACTAGCGATACCCTTTTAGCTGTGGGAGAGAAATAGAATGCGGCTTAATTTCGCAAGAGTGGATAGTTGATAGCGAAGAGACAAACGACCGTCGAATCTGCATGAAATAAAAATAAAAGCCTTTAAAGGTCCAAACTACGATAGTACAGCTTCCTAGCTCACAGAATGTCAGAACAAAACTAGGTATTGCAAAATCCATTATTACGCTTTTTATTTCAGCTTCCTTTCATCGAAGATACTAAGATACTGTTTTCAGGAAGGACAAAGTGGCCAATCAACGGGCTGCAAATGACCGAGACCAAATTAATTCGTCTCTGATTGAGTAGTCAGACCTATGCACCTCAGGTGAATGGACCGTCACTAGCCTATGACAATCAAGTGCTAGAATACGCGTCTCCAGGTCACCGATAAGGTAATGGCCACTCAAATGGTTAAGTAAGAACCAGAAGGCTTCAGTATGGCCGGGTTGTAACTGGTCACCATTCCTTTACACCTCGTGAAATGCTCCTATATAACCAAGCGTCTCAAATCGCATCTACTGAAGAAGCCCTACTCAATGCCTTCCCATGGTGGCGGGGTGGTTTCCCACTAAAGTGAGAGAACAAAAAGCTGACATCCGAGGTTATAACTGGGTTGATAAACCATTGACAGTTAACCCGGGGGAATTGGCTAAAATCCCTGATTCCAAACCAACCAAAAGGAGTAGCACGGGCCACACACACATGGTTGTGGCAGTGGTCACCGGTTCAATTGAGCACCTTAGACATTTGACCCCATCCAAAGGGCGTATGATTCAATGAACTGGACGCCGGTTCCCAACGGACTGCAGACTCCAAGCTCCGTCCTGTTGTCTTGCAGATCTGGCTTTCTAACCAAAGGCTTCTGGTAGGGACCCCGAGGTTATCTCCCTTCCTCAATCAGGGCAACCGGGAAGTAACATGCTCACAACCTACGAACACATTCTACAGATTTCCTTTTGTTCGTATGTTGTGGCACACTTTGTCAGTTCTGTCATTGGTTACGCGTTGAAATAATGAATATATACATTGTCATCGATTGATGACATGATTGAGTAGTAGACCGAAAATTCGTAACGAAACATACGAGCTTGGTATCAAAGAACAAGCCCAGAAACGGTCGACCTTTGAATATGCACTTCTAGCCTATGCACATTCAGGTACGACTTACCTGTCAGCTACGTAAGAATAGTGCCGGCGGGTGGTTCAAGACCATTGGTATGATATTTCACCAACCCAAAATCCCGGATCGTATCCTTTCCCTAGAGATAAATATAGTCTTTCTTTAGCAAGCAAAACTAACAAGCTTTGTTAGGTGACAGGTCCCACACCATCCTATATATGAGGCCTTTTAGGCAGATCGCTGGCCAGGAGAAAACCGGCCAAATCCTTGAGCGCCATTTCTCATAATCCTCGACCGGTAGTTAAGTGTGCTTGTGCTCGCTTTTCCTTACTTGCTATTATTATTATTATTTCAACACGTAACTAATTACAGAGAACTGACAAAGTGTGCCACAACATACGAACAAAAGGAAATCTGTAGAATGTGTTCGTAGGTTGTGAGCATGTTACTTCCCGGTTGCCCTGATTGAGGAAGGGAGATAACCTCGGGGTCCCTACCAGAAGCCTTTGGTTAGAAAGCCAGATCTGCAAGACAACAGGACGGAGCTTGGAGTCTGCAGTCCGTTGGGAACCGGCGTCCAGTTCATTGAATCATACGCCCTTTGGATGGGGTCAAATGTCTAAGGTGCTCAATTGAACCGGTGACCACTGCCACAACCATGTGTGTGTGGCCCGTGCTACTCCTTTTGGTTGGTTTGGAATCAGGGATTTTAGCCAATTCCCCCGGGTTAACTGTCAATGGTTTATCAACCCAGTTATAACCTCGGATGTCAGCTTTTTGTTCTCTCACTTTAGTGGGAAACCACCCCGCCACCATGGGAAGGCATTGAGTAGGGCTTCTTCAGTAGATGCGATTTGAGACGCTTGGTTATATAGGAGCATTTCACGAGGTGTAAAGGAATGGTGACCAGTTACAACCCGAGACACTCAAACCGACCATACTGAGGTGATGCGAGATACCCAAGGTAACACATAGATACACATAAACTGGTCACAAGTAAGTTGCACAAATAGTGCGACGTCAATTTGTGTGGTGTCTCAAGACATATAAGAAAGGCCTCATTTGGTCTGAGCAATGTACTTAGTTATTCGGGTCCTGTGGTCTTAGGGGTTATGAAAATATGAATCATACCAGCACCGAGGGGAGCAACGATGACTAGCTGGGGAAGGTGTTTTCTATCTCATAGGAATTATCACATACCCTGGAATAGATTTTGATGTCTGAAACAGAAGTCCGGGCGGAGATGGAGTATCAGCACTCGCACGTTTATAAGTGGTTATATCCTACCGGAAATGGCTTTTGCACCAACAAAAGTTGAGCTCTTAACGAAAGTAGCGGACAGGACAGTAGTGAGTACTGTGGAATCTGTCAGAACAAGTGTATAGAACAGTAACCAATGCTTATGAACCTGAGACACGAAGATGAATTGGGCAAATCACAAATGGCGCAAGATCCGAAGCATGTTATACACTGTAGGTCTAGTCCATATGAGGGCTCTAGGTATCCATGGGTGTTGGTAAAGCGGTGTAAGTCACCGGGAACGGTGTGATTGGGCTCCAGTCACAGGTGCGAAGCAGGGCACTGTACGCCTTCCCCTCCCAATTGGGGTAGGGGAAGTTTTGATACCCTCTGGCTCTATTCCACGTATATAATTGGAGGGACCCTTAAATGGTTCTCCACTTCTAGGTATCAAGATTATCGTAAAGCGAAATACAGCGAAGTGAACTTCACTGACCGCTGCCAAATTAAAAAAACATACAAGGCAAAGGTAAATCGGACAGGGATAGGGTCTTTTTTGAGGGAAGGATCAAATTCTATGATCAATGCACGGAGTAAATAGTCCAAATGTGCACACACATTTGCATGAATTCTGTTCTGAAAAGAAGTGACGACAAGAATACCAAAAGAAGTCGGTTCGCTGCCATTTCCCTCAATACCTCTAACCTACCAGTTAGACATTTTTAGCGTGGAGGAGCGGAGATATCCACTCTACCCAATCGCTGTGCATTTTTTCCCTGCATTCTCTTTTTCATTACACAATTTTGACATGAACAACAAACGGGGTGGACCTATAGTCGCGAAGACCTACTGTTCCTTGATTGAAACTGGTGACGTAAACCCCGGAACTTAGTGTGACGAACCACATAAGGCCCTATGTTAGGCGTTGCATTCAACCAGACGAATATACAGCTTCCTACCAACAAAGTTGGGTAGCGGTTGACTGACTGTCCCACCCCCTTTTCACTATGTTCTGTACCCCAAACCACCTGTCCCGTTTTATTGTTGTTGAGTTGGCGCCAGGCGTGTCTTCAAGCCGGTGGTAAATATATATATAGCGGTTGACCTCCGGAGCGATAACTGCAAATAAGGCGCGGTGAGGTACACTACCGTTGGGTATACGCAAAACATGCTAACATCAGCGAAATTTTCCTCAGAACATTCCCGTATACGAGTTGCATCTGTGTTACCAATCCACTCACTGCATTCTACCTGGGCCAGACTTCAACTTCAGCGAAAAGTCGCTACACGCACTTCAGCCTTGCGCACGCTGTTGATCTATGGAAATATGTGCAATTTATTCTATACTGTACTTTATCATTACACACCGATGTGTGATGGACAGTAGACGGGATGGAACCCCATAGTCACGAAGTGATGGTAAACAGCAACAAAGTTATCTACCTCCAAAGTTAAGTGGCGGGGCTCGAACCTCGGACCACAGGGTCCAACGCACGCCGGTGTTAGCGACTAAACCACTGAGCCATCACCACCACTACGAGCATTGGTCTCGCAACTGCCTAAGTAGCGGAAGCAGTCAACTTCAGCCGACTTCTGACCATCTCATTTCAAAACCGAACTAGTCAAGCTCAAGTCCCAGAGCAGATTGCCGTGAGTGAATAATAGGTTTTCGTGACTTTGTTTACTCTTTCAGACAATAATGTGTAATAAAAATTACTCGAGGCAAAGAACTGCTAGTGACTCGACAAAAACTTACAATTTTAAGGAATAGGTAACTTAGTCGAAGGAAAAATATACGAAATCTATTTTCAAAGTTCAGTGTGGTTGGTCCAAAGACTTGGGTCTCATTGTGGTGAACTGCATGAAGCTATACAACTATGGTTTTTACAGTACGAGTACACGACAATCAGTGCAGTATGGCTGAGGGTTCAGGATCATTAGGACGAGCAGTTTTAGGCAGTTGCGGTCACACTCTGGAAAATGTTCGAGCTCCAGAGGTCACTTTGATTGGGGTGTGTTACGCATGTCACCAAACAGTTTGCCACGGTGTGCGACATTTGCTGACGAAGGTAATGGGTGGGAAAAGTTGAAGATGATGAAACCGGGATTGAAGTATGAAGGTAAGCAAATTCTCAGCGGGGGACATGGTCATATAGGTCGTGTTCGGCTGCTTGGTTGGGGACCTCGAGAGCAGCATAATAGATGGTTTGGAGGTTGATATGGCTCAGTTGCAAACAGTGGTGATCGTGCAACAAATCAATAACCCAGTAAATGATGCAATTTCTATCTTTATATTGACGTTGCTTCAAGGATCACCATGGTCCCTCTACTCGTTCATCTAAATGGGTGGCAGAGACAGGAACACGAGGCTCTGCATGAAAGCGCATGGTTAATGGTAGTATAAACAGAAACTGATTTGGTTTGGAGTCCCGGCCCGACTGATCGCGGTTAGAGTCCTGACAGAGACACAAGAAGTAAGCACTGCTGACAAGTCCCTAACAGGACGAAACAGCTGTTCAGTGCTCTTTGTTGATCATCGTTAACATTTCCATCACATTTGAATGCTTTGTCTCGTGAAGAGTTAACGAACTTCCAAGGAGTGAAACCCACACCCAAGACCATCAAGTGTGCCTGGTGGCTATGAACAATCGAATGGGCTAATCCAAGCTTTATACTCTGATTTGGTTTTCTTTTCATCGAGTAGTTTAGATACCAGCGAAGTTCTGCCAGCAGTGTAACCTTGGGTTCATTGCAGGATAACAAAGTTACATTATGAAACCCAGGTTACCATATAGTCCATAATGAAGAAATTAACAAAGGGATTGTATGAGGCATAGATCACATTTGAAATGAGTGACTTATTGTGCAATGTTACTGTTAAGGCTACAGAAGATTCACTGAGGCAACAAGGAATTTGATGAACAAACGGGTGACACCGAGAAAACGTGGCAAAAGCATTTGAGATAGTGAAACAGACAGTAACCAGAAAGCATGGAACAGCAACTCACTTGTATTGAAGGATTCCGGCAAGAGAAATGTTTGGCCCCAGGAACCGGAGATATTTGCAATCCAAAACTAGTAAGCAGAAAAAATATGATTTATTGGCAAATGAATCTTTAAATCTACCTTCTGGAACCGAAGTTGCACATCCGATGCATGGCCGAAAACTTGCGGATACATTGCACCGGAGGCGACCACACCCACCGAACCAAGTAACAGGTCGAGTAATCGCTCATTTTTGTACAAACTAAACCCGTTCGGTTGTGAGGACATTAAAAGCATGGTGTTCAGTGCAAAGTCCACTTCGTTCGGTAAATTGGATTGTAGGGAACATTCCAGGCTGATATAATCTACACGATCCAATAGATCGGTGCTAAGGCTCCAGCTATCTCGCATATGGTTCGGGATATCTTCCGCTCTAGGCGATGGAGAGCCGGAGGAAGGTAATAACTGTTTTGCACCTTTCGCAGCATCGACATCCTGATAAAGAGAAGTGGTGGACATCAAGTTAGGGTTAGCTTACTTGTGAATCTGTGTCTATGCATAATGATGAATCAAGGTCTTCTGTTGCAAATGTACTCTTCACTGTCATTCGTTGTGAGCGCTCGAATGATTCCAGAAAGCGTTGATAGATTGTACGAAGACCGTGGCCTGCGTCCACACAGCCTGGCGGGAAGCCAAGCGCCATATACACTTCATTCCACTGATGAAGTGATGTAACCTGAGCAGCTGGTTAGGGTTTTTTCATTTCAACGTACTTGTTTGTGTCCACCCCGTATAGCCACTTCATTGTACAATGCACGCAAATCGATATTCCGTCCACACAAAGTGGGCGGAACAAAGGTAGAGTTGTTGCTGGAATGGGTTGAGAAGTATGAAAGGCTTATTATGAAACTCACCGATTCGGGCGGGAATGTCGTAATAAATCGGACAAGAACTGATGATTTGGCTTGGTCACAATAGGCAGACAAGTGGTGCAGTTGCTGAACGGTCGAGTTCTCGACTTGGACATATCGACTAAAAGTTGATCCGAGTTTGTCGAATGCTAACGGGTCAGAGTATGGCAAATAGGCGCGATCAGCTGAGTGAGTGAAACCCCAACGACGGTCAATGGTGCATAGCGCACGTGTGTGTGCGCGCGCGCCGTCCGGGTAGAGCGGAACGCTGTGCAGCGAGCACGCGTCGTAGTTCAGTTGTCGCACACGCTGTCAGGCGCACACAGGCCTGAGCAGCAATGCCCGGGTGCGTATTGTCGAACCGCTTTTGTCAGCGCAAACCCGTGTCCGTGACCCAGAGCACCTGTGTGTCTAAGCGATATACAGCAGTCACAGGGAAATTCGTTTCGCTATGCCATTCAACACCAAAGCTGTAGTACAAGACCGGGATGCGAAAGCCATGGCGTTAACAAAAATTCTCGTTTCACACAAAGCCAGGAGGACCGGAGAGGTAGGTTGAGGGCTGAACGACAGCTAAGCGAGAGATAGACAGGCGTGTTGGGTTCGATTCGCGCGACGCGGCAAGCGTTGGGATGTGGCAGACAGGCCAACGGAGGCTATCGATTGATTGCCGCTGAGAGACGCGAATGGCCACCTTTGCTAGTGACAGGCCTCGAGTGCTGTCAGGTCTACGCTCACACAGCCATTCGAACGTGGGCCGGCCAAGAAAGAACGGATCTGGCAGTTGAATCACGTCAA